GATTACTTTAAACCCTTTATCTGTCTTTGTATTTAAAATACCAGGTCTTATTATTGATGCTTTTGGAGAGCTAAGAGACCAGCAGGAACAAGTGCGAGAAGATATGGAGGTAATGTTTGACTAGCTCCAATGCTTATTTCTGTATCTTATGGAAAATGGGTTTAAGTAATCAGGTCTGCTATTTTGTAGGGCCAGTCTTAGGCAAATGACCGACAAAGTTTGCTTGTCCTGCCTGTCCTCTGTGCCTGTCTGCCAGCTCCGGGCACTGCTTCTGCCTCACCCCTCTGCCCTGCACTGCCCCGCTTCCCCGCCTGCCACCCTGCTCTGCTAGCTGGGAGTTGACGATGGGACACTGTGGAGAGGACTAATAGCCAAAAGCGTTAGAGAGAGACATATTTTTCATCATCTGTCCATTCAGAGATCAGCAGCCCTTTCCCTCCTGCCTATAATGTCATGTGTACTAATGCCTTTACTGCTTCTCTTATTCATCTTAGACTAAATGTTTCATCTGTGGGATTGGCAATGACTATTTTGACACGACTCCTCATGGCTTTGAAACACATACCTTGCAGGAGCACAACTTAGCCAACTATTTGTGAGTATCCGTGGTCAACAGAGGGGACAGTGGCTGGGGGAAGGAGCTGCAGAGTAAAATACACAGTTATGTCATAGGGTTCCCTCCTGTACATGCCATTTCTGCCTGTTTCTCTGAAAAAGTAGAGGCAGTTAGGAAGAAACTTCAAGGAGTCTCGATGAGCTTGCCTCTTTGTCCATATTCCCTGCCTTTCCGGGTTTTGACAGACATGTGCTATGGGCTTTCCCTGCACCTCACAAAGGTCAGCCCGTGCACCTGCGATGAGACCCCATGCCTTCCTCACGTCCCATAACTACAGCAATTTCTTTCTCTACCAGATTTATCCTGTCACCATACAAGTGTTATTTTTTTTATCCTAAACAAAGAACAGAGCCTGCTGCCCCATTTCTACTTCCAGCTCTTGCCCTGCTTTCTTTCCCTTCCAGTAAAACTTAAAGTGTCTGTGCTTACTGTCTTTGATTCTTCTCTTCCCATTCTCCTTTGAACCCAGCCCAGTCAGGCCCCTCCCCACCACGTCACACTTGCTCCTATTGAGGTGGTCCACGAGCTGCCTGTTGCAGGGTGCTGTGGTCACTTTGCAGGCCTCACCCCGCCTGTCCTCTCCTGGGAACATAGAAGCTCCAGGAGAGCGGGATAGTTGTGGGACACGGGTGTTTCATACCGCTGTATCCTAGCACATGGGGGAGAAGTCCTTGGCCCCCAGAAGGTGCTAATAAGCATTTCACTTGTTCTGAGGTCAAGCCGTCACTCAGAACCAAGTTATTCAGAGCCCATTTTGTACCCTATGAAGCTTCTATCTTAAAGAGACTCTGAAGGGGCAGGTAATCTATATTCTCTGTAAGTGATCATTTTCAAGAAAAGGGAAAAGCTGCTCCCCAGCCCATGTCTTCCCTTCTGGGTCTACATTTTATTATTCAGGAAAAACCAATCTTTAGGATAGAACAGGCCTAGCCTTTGGGAAAGTTATTATTGTCAAAAAGAAGTACCAAAGACCTATCATTTTGCTAGAATACCTTATATACTAGAAGACAAAAACACAAATTAAAAAAAAAAACTTTAATATATCCTTCCTCAAGTCGTGAGTATTCATCGTTGTTAACTCTCATGAAGAGACAGCTTTGCGCAGTGGCAGTATCGTAGCCAATGAGGTTTATCTTAAGGTTTATCTTTATCTTATCATAAGGCGCGATTATTGCTAATTGAAAACTCTCATGAAGAGAGTTTCCATGTTAATGGAGGCAATCAGAATGGATGTCCTTCTAGAAAAGGTGAGCACCTGGTCCTTTGTCAGGACCTGTGAGTAGAGAAATGTGAAAGGGTATTGTGATGCTGTCCCCCTTCGACATCCTCCCTTGGCACTACGTATTATAATAATCTCCCTTCTGGCTCTCTGCACTGTTAGCAGCATGCTGGAGGAGAGAGAACCCATCTTGTTCATATTTAAAACTCCCCCTAAAAATGGTGCTTTTGTCAAATAAATGTGCCAGGAACTAAAGTCTTCCATCCCCGAGTCTCTAACATGATAAAGCTATTGAGCCTGCGGCCTTCTTAGTCTGCTAAAAGGAAAGCTATTGGGCGTGCGGCCTTCTTAGTCTGCTAAAAGGAAAAGGAAGGAAGAAATGAAATCTTTTTATCACTGCTGAAGCTGCAGATCTAAGGAGACCCTGAGAGAATTTGAAGTCTGGAGCTCAGGCTCTCCCCGTCCCCAGTCCTGTCTTTGAGGGCACAAGACGGGCTCCTTTGAAAGTGGTCTCTGAGATCCTGCAGTGTGAGCTGAAAGACCAGCCCCGGCTTCCGTGGATACTTGGGTGAACCAGATGAACAGACTCGAACCCTAGCCACACCACCGTTAGCACAAGTGACCCTACACTGGCATTTCTCAGAGGTCTACAATAAAAAACTCTTTCTAGAAGAGAACAGCTTAATGAGGTTACATGCTTTCTACCTTTTCCATGACCTATCCTTGAGAAACACACAATTTTAGTTCTCCATTCAGCCATTAAAAATCATATGGTAAGAGTTTTGGTTACCCTTTCATTGTTTAGGATTTTTATTTTTTTGGAGAGAGAAAGAGCACATGGTGGTGGGGGATAGGGCAGAAGGGCGGGGCAGGGGGTGTTAAACTGGCTCCGTGCCCAGTGCCGAGCCCCACATGAGGTTTGATCCTAGGTCCCTGAGATCATGACTTGAACCCAAACCCAGTCAGACATTCAACTGACTGAGCCACCCAGGTGCCCCCAGTTAGGATTTTTAAAAAAGGCAGCCAAAATTCTTCTCACAAGTAATGGTAAAATTTCTCCTCACAAAAAGACTAACCAAAGTAATATTGTCTTTTACTCAAATCTTTTTCCAGGTTCTTCCTGATGTACCTGATTAATAAAGATGAGACCGAACACACGGGTCAGGTGAGAAAATGTCTTAAGACTCGTACCCCTTTTAGAAGTCTTCAGACTTAACAGAACATAGGATGTCTGAAGTAGATAGATGACTTCATTCATTTCCAGTGTACATTCTTCCTCTGCCTAATTCTGCCATCCCTTTGTGACCTAAGAAGCCAATATCTTCAGGCACCTCTAGTCTCTTCCTAAAGACTTTGCTTATCTGTCCCAACAACGCTGACATTTTCTAAACCCTTATGGTTACTGCTTTAGAGTAGAATAGCTGGAGGTGGGGAGAACATTACAGACAAAAAGACAAGGAGGAGCTGAGTGGGTGGCTCTAACAAAGAGAGTAAAATGGCGTGAGAGACAGCCGGAGAAAGATAACCACCTCATGTGTGGGTGACACAGGGAATGTGGAGGTGTGGGTAGTATGAGTGAAAGTATGTGTCAAAAGGGATTTTGTGACTAAGTTTGAGAAACAAATGCCAAGACAAGAGAACAAGGGGAAGAAAAGGTAGGTTATCTAATACTCAAACATTATCAGATTTGTAGGAAAACTTCACAGCTCAGACACTTGAGAGGCAACTGGTTCTAGATCTCCCTTCAGTGCTCCAGGCATCTGCCCCCACTATCCCTTCATTGTGTGTTCTTCTGCATTCTACCAATTACACATGGCATAGAATCAGCCTCCTAGTATATCTTTCAGCATTTTTACTCACAGTCATTGCATTGTGTTCAGTGTTTTGAGTTTTGGGGGGAGGGAAATGGAGTGGGGGTGGGGAATGACTTTTTGCTCCTAAACTAGCTTGGACTGGGAGCAGAGCAAGGAAGAAGGTACAAGGTTGGGCACCGCCACCATTCTCCAAGGGAGACCTACTAAGTAAACACCACCTGGGTTTTAGCTTACTGCAGTTTAAAAAGAAGTACCCTTTGTTTCCTTTATTTCAGGAATCTTATGTCTGGAAGATGTACCAAGAAAGGTGTTGGGATTTCTTCCCGGCTGGTGACTGCTTTCGGAAACAATACGAAGATCAGCTTGGGTAAATCAGAATGAAAGAAACTGCACAATTCTAGATGGTCTACTTCCAGTGAAATAAATCCTTTTTATAGTTCTGCAAAATATTTGAAATGTGACATATTCTAAATGCCTCCCTTACGAGAAAGTGTTAGAAATATGTGATATTTTGGAATTGATTTGGCTTTTTGTGCCTAATGGATGTAGTCCTAGGGGAGACAACCTATCAAAATGTTAAAAGATGGCAAAGAATCAAGGAAACTGTACTTGAGAATACCTTCAAGTTTTCAGCATAATGGAAAATGGTGTCATTGAGGAAAGAACTAGAAGTATGAAGTCTTCAATGCACAATACCTGAAATTTTACACACTTGAATGTCACATGACAGTATCCACTAGTGACTCATGGTCTGAACTACAAAAAAAAATCATTTTAACTGCAAATTTCTCCCATGGTACTTGCTAGTAAATGTATTCAGAATCAGCTTGAAAAGCTTTAAGCAGTTAAAAGAAACAGAAAAAAAAAAAAAAACAACCAACACTTTGTCGACACTGAACTATCGATTAAGTGCCTTAAAATCTCTTTAGATATAGCTATGCAAATTTTTTATGTTTCTGTTTCAGACGGACAGTTCCATTAATGGGTTGTGTTGATCTTCTGTCTTTATGAAACTGCACTTGAAGGTTATTCCTATTTTTTTTTTCAGTAACAGCTTGTCAACTGCTGTTATTAGAAGTACTGTATTGAAAATTCAGAAAAATGTCATTCTTATGCCAAACTGAGTACTGCTTTATGGTTCCCTTGTAAGTAGTGGAGCTGCTGTGTATAGGTGAATCTCCTTACGTCAAAGGAAGTGCCCACTGCAATAAAGTACCACGTACCAATCTGTGGTGTCGGCCTCTGGTGATGTACCTCTTCTGGATGATTCCACGGCCGTCCTGTAATTACTGGAAAAGGGGCATGGGACAAAGAGCCTTACCCCCCCCACCCCCAAGAAAGAAAGGAATGCTGTAGAGCAGAGTTCATTTATTTTGGCCAAATGCATGCCTTGTTGCTATCTATCAGCAGCACCTGCTCTCCTGTAAACACTGAAAGGAAGGAGGCTGGAAACAAGAGCCGTAACATCCCCTGCCCTCAAGGACTCTGGGAGATTGCTAAGCCAGGGAGCGGATGCAGCGAGCCTCGTAGATGGGTAGTCCCGGATGCCGTGGAACATAGAGGTAGGCGTTCCCTGCGGCAAGCGTGATGGAACACACTGGCTCAGCAAGCAGCTGTTCTGGAAGGACAGCCGGGGGCCCACCCTTACTGACAAGGCAACCAAAATTTGCGTCAGGCACTTTTTTTTTTTTTTTTCTTCGTTTTCTTTTTTCTTTTTTCTTTTCCTTTTAGGTTAGGAAATCATGCTGTCCAACCAGTCTTCAAGCTCCTCCTCGGTAACAGTTTTCGATGTATTTGGTTGCTCAGACTGCACGTTCTTTTCTCCCATCACAGATAGCTCGGCAGGACCTGGGGAGATAAAAGCAGCGTTAGCGACTTCACATTAGTCCCAGAACTGAGGGTTAAGGCTTCCTTGGGGTTTGTTCCATGATGGAATTCAGCTCTGATTACATAACAGGAAACATTCTATTACGGCTTCAACTCTTCAAGAAGATACAGTAATAGCTAAACAAATTAATAATTGGGGGGGGGGGAGACTTGCTCCTCTGTTTATTCTGAAGTTGAATGTCCCAGTTCACTAAGTTTTCTAAAAAGACCAACAGATTAGTTTTCTTTTTACTATTGTAGCACTCCTGGAAAGTCCTTACAGGTTCTCAAATGCAGGTGTGGACGGGGCACACGTCCGCCTTGGCCTCTCCATAGCAGCTGGCCCAGGTCTCACAGAGCACGCACAAAGGGCGAAGTGCTCTTTTGTACAAAAGTAAGACGGAAATAGCAAGCCACAAGTCTGGAGAGCTGGTTAACGGTCCTGCTCAGACAGTCGATTAAAAGGTCTGCTGCAGCACAGCTGAGGGCAACGAGGATCTGCACGCCTCTCTCCGGCGCCGGGTCCATCTGCCACCCTGGGTTTAATATCGCAGTCGGGCAGGGAGCACCCTGCGAGCCTGCTGTATTGAGTGAGGAATGTCAGAAAGGTCAGCTCAGGGGGAAGCGGCGATGTGAGCCCAGAAATAGATGTCGGCAGACAACACCAGATCAATGGCAGACGCTGCTGGAGAGGGGTAGGGACGGGATGCCAGTGGGGCTGTTGGCACAAAAGGTGAGAAGATGGATAAGGAATAAAATGAAAGCCATACCTTGTTCTTCTTGGGCCACCTCCCCATCTTTCTCAGATTCTTGGGCCTGCACGGTCTGGACTGCTGCAGTGTTCTCTCCCTCTCTTACAGGTGCATCTAAACTAAGCAGCAGATCTAATTCTTCCTCCAAGTGGTCTGCTGCCGCCTGCAGGGGGGCGGTGGGTTTCTGAGGTCCCGTGGAGGGAGCCGGGCTAGGGCCATCTTTACCCAGGTACATGGGGCAGCCAGCAGATTTCAGCTCGGAGGTGGAGCCCTTTCCTCTGGGTCCCAAGGGCCCTTTTAACTGCATCCCCAGTCCCTTGCCTTCATCATCTCTCTTTGGTTTCACCTGAGGAAGCTCTAAAGGAAGGGTGGTCTGAAAGAGAAGCAATATAATGCAGGTAAAAATCTGAGTCCTGCCCTATTGGCTTACACAGAAACAAGAACGACAGAAGCCAAACTTGGTGGAAGAGGAAATTCAGTTCAGAGAGGAAGGTCACAAAGGGTCCCCAGTTCAGGCCCTGCCCTAGAACCCTTCCTTATTGAGCTGGGGTAAATGGGGGAGACCTCACTGAAACACCACAGGGCTGTGCCTCCCCCTCTGCCCACCCCCGCCTCTCTGCACAACGGCAGAGTAGACACCACAAGAGCATGTCTTTCTGTAACTGCCGTGGGAACTGGCAGTACCCCAGGTCTATTTGAATGTACACAGGTGTACATCTGTGAGGAGATAAACATCTGTAAAAGGCACCCAGAAGTAATTAGCAAATCAGATCATTCACTGTACTTAAATGCACTGATAATAAAGTCGTCTAGAATGACCCGTAGTAACATTTGAGTAAAATAAGGGGAAGGAGGTGGGTTAAAACTAGCCAGGTTTTCAAAGTTACTAAAATTGATCTGTACTTTTGTTCTCAGGCCTACCATTGACAGGACATCCTCAGTTTTCTCCCTGAGGCCCCCTCACCTTCATTGTGCTGTACTGGGCTAACCCAGCCCCATTCTGCGGGGAATGCACCCCAGCCGCACGTGTCCTGGCCACCCAGCGGGGACAGCAGCGCTCTCCCCATCACTAATAAAACCCCAAACAGCCCAAACATGCATGGAGCTCCGTGGTGACTCAATCAGAGACAAATGCCATCCTCTCTACTTCCCTGCCCTGCCATTAAGCCCAGCCCTGAATTCTGCTTGCTGCCGTAAACCGGGGGGTCAGTCAGGGCCACAGAAACAAGAGCTGGGTAGGTAACCAATTCATGTGGCTGCTCAAATGTGTGACACATTCAGTTGCAGAACGAAGCTGACCGCTTCAGTTGCCGGGATTCTCTTTACAATTAGTACGGCTCAGGGTTTTACTTTTTTAAAAATGCAATCGAGCCACAACTACATTGTGAGGTGCCTGTCATATGGTCTGTTGGGCCTCCCCCTCTCTGCTCATTCATCAGTTGCTATCTTACACTGAGGTCTCCTACATTTATGCTTCTAGCCCTTCCTTCTCATCTATCCAACTCCTACTTCCACTTCGATATCTCAGAGGCACAGACCCATCACGTCCAAACCTTTCCTTTCCTGATACCCCCATCGCTGACTTGCACAAGCTGCAAGGCCGAGAACAATACTTTACTTGCCGCTCTCCATTTCCAGTATTTCCCAAGCCCTGCTTATTTTCCTTTTGAAGTACATCTTGGTCAAGTCCAATTCTCTGCCATCTCCATCCCAGTCCTACCTACACCATCACCCAGGCCTGCAGCAGCAGCCTCCTAGTTTGCTCGCCCTGACCCACTCTCCACTGGTGTGTACACGCCTGTGTACATTTGCCAACACACATTCTGCCAACTCCATTCTGCAGCCAGAATGGTCCTGCGTATCATCATCATGAGCAGTAGTGTTAAGGCAGAGCTGATTGGGTCACTCTTCTCTAAATTCTCATTCATGTGCTTTTATACTCTGGATCTCGGCTCATCTGACAGTCCTTCAGGAAAGCCATTCCTAATCACACCAGAATAGATCAGGTTCATTATTATAGATTCTCACAGAGCAGTACACTCCTTCATGGGACTTGCCACAATTGGAGAACTTGATCAATACTCCTATTTCCCAATAGATTAAGCTCTGGGAGATCAAGAACAATGTCTGATCACCACTGACTACTTAGTGCTAACGCAGAGCCTGGCACATCAATTTTTGAGCAAAAAAACAGCCAGACTTCATTCTTTCACATTTCATTCAATCCTTCAAAACGTTTCACATGTAAAATGTAAAAAAAAAAAAAGACTAAAAATTATTTCATTTCCCCCTTAAAACTCTGAAAAATGCTACCCTGACACAAAAGCCTCAGCTTTGGGGAAGGAAGAGGTGTTGTGAACCATCCTGCACAGTGACAGTTTTCACTCTTCTTCATGTGCTCTAACCCGCACCCGCAGGCAGATGCTGTTGGGGTTTTTACCTGGACCAATTCGGCAGCAACATTGAGTCGGAGTGAGAGAGGCAGCTCTTGAAGGGCTCGAACCAGTGACTCACAGTCCACATAAAATGCTGAATTCTATTAACAAAAAATTATATGCATTGTCAGGTGACCAGTACAAAGGACCATTCAGAGATAAAAGAGCAGATGATCACGGAAGGAAATAAACCATCCACTGACATTACATTCAGTGGAGAGTAAGTCCTATCATAGGTCCCACTTGATATGGTTGCTATTTTCTATCATGGCGTTAAGATGAGCAAAACCGAAGCCATGTTCTGGAGCGACAGTTCACACTGTGAGAGCAGGAACAGGGCAGTGATAACCCTCACCCTGAGACTGCACAATAACCTGGAAACTACAGATGCTTCTAGAATTACAGGCAAATTGAAAAATAAGCATTTAAGGGGATCAAAGTGGACCCCTCCCTCTAATTCAGACAGCCAGCCTTCAGGAGAGGAGAGGAGAGGAGAGCCTTCTAAGCAGGGAGACGGGGCTGATCGGCTCAGCCGAAGGAGCCTGTGGTATAGGCTTCTGTTCTAACCAGAAAGCAGGAGGCAGACTTGCCCGCTAGCTAGCACCGCTCTGTGGGGACAACACCGAAAGCTTCCCTTGACTCCTCTCCCGTTCATGGAAGTCGAGACCTATCCTGGCCATGACCTCCCAAATTGACAGTAGCTGAGGAAACATTCCCGATTATTTCATGGCTTGACAACAGTCTGATGGCTACTTTCTGGGGCCCAGGCCACCCAAGAGAACAAATAACCCAAAGAGGCAGATACTGCTAACCACCTCGTCTACCAGAGCCTCCCAGGCCCAGCTGGAAACAGCTCACTGCACCGTCCCTGGCTTCAAGTTAGAAGAGAAGTCAGGGCCCACCTAGTCGGTCTGGATTCCACCGCAGCGGTGTCTGGGACATCCTGGGTAATGCGTTCACTGTGGGTGGGGACGGTGAGCTCAAGAAGAGCCTGACCCTCATCCAGACCCACTGTAACCCCTGATGCCCACAGCAGCCACTGCTGTGTCCTCGCACGGGCTGCAAGAGATGGTGTGGCTGTTCACCTGCCCTTCAGAAACAGTCCCAAGATGGCTGGCTCTTAGCTACGCCATGTTGGCAGCACCAGATAGGCCCTGGTTCTGTTAAAAAGGAACTCCCTTCTAAAACACACAGTGTATTTAGGGAGCAGGATAGAGGCTGGTAAAGCCCTGACAAGAAAACCGGAAATTCAGTGTGCATTCCAGGCCTTTCCTCAGCCCTGCACTTATTAGCACCTTAAGGGCTGTGGTCAGACCAGTGTGGCCAAGTCTTCATTTTCAAGTTTGGAGAAACTCTCTCCAGCTGGTAGAAAGTGTGATCCCAAATGCTTAACCCATGGGTATGTCGTCACATCACACACTGGAAATCTCACCCTCCCCAACGCCCACAGAGCTGCATACAAGCAGACCCCCGCCTTTCAGCCGATGAAAGAGCAGGAACTTCACCCCTGCCATGCGTGCCAACCATTCACCGGCTGCTCTCTTAGCGCCCCAGACAGGAGAACCGTGGAGGCATACAGGGGGTCTGGCTAAAAGTGGCCACGCTTCCTCTGCCCTCTTTAGCACCATGTGCAACATGACTACATGGTATAGCCACAACAATGAAAAGTAGGGGTGCCGGGGGTGGGGTTCAGTTGGTTAAGTGTCTGCCTTCAGCTCAGATCGTGATCCCAGGGTCCTGGGATCGAGGTCCCTACCAGGCTCTCTGCTTGGCAGGAAGCCTGCTTCTCCCTCTCCCTCTGCCTGCCGCTCTGCCTACTTGTGCGTGCTCTTTCTCTCTCTGTGTCAAATAAAAAGGGACTGGCCACGCTGTGCTTCTGAGCCACGTGCCAGATGATGGACATCTAGCGGTGTCTGCTCCTGGAAGGTCTCTTTCCCCCACCTTTCTAATTCCCACCCACCAACCAAGGCCCTGCAGACACTGCACAGCCTCCACGATGCTGTAGAGACACTTCAAACCAGCAGGGGAGGTGCAGGAGTCCTGGAGCCTAGAACCTGCCACCAAATGCCACTTTGGAAGAGGACTCCTTTTCTCAGCACCAGTCTTTCCCACAAAGGGCTAAAGCTAAGATCTAACATAAAAGGAGTGGAGGTGAAATGCTTGTAATAGTAAAGTGTGAATTTAAAAATAGGCTTCATTGGAATAACAACCACAAATTAGCTTTTTGCTGTGTCTTAAAATAACGGAGAGGTTATTTTGTTTTTTGCCTGGAGAGGCTAGTCCCCATATCCACCAGGCCAACTCTGACGGTCACTCACAGTTGGAGCTCACAGCCTGACCCCGATGCCTTCCCCCTGCATACTCACGCCAGCTGTGGGAAGCCAGCCTTGACTGTTAGAACAAAGTCCCACCCCATTCTCTGAGGTCAGTGTGCACAGAACTGTGGGTAGTGAAAACCTATCCCCTCTGTCCAGGAAACTTACTACTTACTAGACTCTGAGTCTCAGTGTCTGTGTCAGACAAAGAACCTGCTAGAAAGTGCACTGTGCAGCTGAAGAAAAAATAGCCTTTGATCAGACCATTATACCTTCCAAAATTTTTATCACCTTTCTGTCTCTCAAGTAAGCAAAACCAGAACCTAATGAGGAGTTAAGTGGGACATGAACAGGTTTTGATGGGCAAGTGATGAATTTTAGTTTTGGATGGGTCCTACCCACACATCAACTCAAAATATTCAGAGTAAACTTGCCCTCTCTGTAGCCCATCAATGGCATCACCACCCACCTAATCATCAAGCTAGAAAGCTTTGCGCCACCACACACCTTTCTTGTCCGCATGTCTCACATGTGACACAGTCTAGTTCGTCCTCTGCTGAAATCCATCTATCAATGAACCATCCTCCACTCCCACTTCCCCATGCTCCCAGGCCCTCATCCCTTCGTGTTCACCCAAAATCATATCCTCCTAACTGGTTTCCCTGCCTCCTGCCTCTTCCCTCTTCAATCCCTCTTTCCCAGTACTGCTCAGGTCAAATCTAGCCATTTCCATTTTCTGTCCAAACAAAACTTTAATGAAAAAATAAGAGTAGGAATAAGAGCTACTTCTGAGTGTTTCATATGTGTCAGGAACTGCATAAAAGAGCTTTTATTTATTATTTAATGTAATCCTCATTATAACCCCAAGTTATATCTTTATATCTTATTATTAGTTCTATTTTACAGATGAGAACACAAGAAAAGGAAAGAAGTTCACCCAAGTCACAGAACTCAGATTCACAGTCAGGCTTGTCTCTCCAAGATCTATGCTCTCACCCACATGCTAAACATCCCCCTAGAAGAAGATCAGACTGCTGGTATTATCCAGCCCAGACTTACCCCTGAAGCCTCCTTCTCTGGGAACACTGCACTCCAACTATATCCTGACTCCGAGCATGCCTGGTCTTTCAGCTCTCTTCACTTAACAGGACCTCCAGCATCACACTGACCCACCAAGGCCCATTCAGACTCTCTGTCTTTCCCGTGGTACTGATCTCAATCCCTTCCAGCCCAAAGTGGCCCCCACAGTAGTATCTTAATTCATTTATGACACCACTTATTTTATGTCACACTCTTTTTCATTTATTATGTAAATATTTACTGGTCACCTACTATATGTCAGTGACCATGCTAAGGGCAATGAACAAGCACAGTCTCTGTCTTATTCACCTTTGAGTAAGTTCCAACTAATAAAATACCTAGTAAATAAGTTCTCCGTATTCTGATGCGTGAAGAACTTTAGAACTATCTGAAACTCTCAGGATAACTGAAATATTCTCTAATAGTCAATGTGGTTCAAAAGGAGTTGAAATGTGAGTTGTCTGGCTTTTGCTGTATTCCTTGATGACTTCTGTTTGCTTGCAATTTGTCTTAGAATTCTAAACTGTACTTCAGGCATATGACCACACAGACTGAAGAAAGACAAGTATTTTTAATGCCCCATTTTTTCCATGTTGTAATACACACTCTAAGCAAAGTGACATAGTCATTTCACAAGTAATTTCCCACCCCCTTGGTCTGTATGGTAAGCCAATGTCCATCCCAAATGAGTACATAGAAGACCACCCCAGAGAGAAAAGGAACCACTTATGGTGTGTGTACTGAGCGGGTAGCAGAATGGGGAAGAGGACGCCCTACCTTTGGGCTTCAGGTCTGCTACTCGGTCACGTGTCTGAAACTGTGGACAGATTGTCAGATTATTGTATGAGTCAGCAAGTGCTAGCTGTGGAGCTGGGGAGCAGATGACAAGCCATCACTGATTCTCAGTGCTTTTTAAAAAGGTTAGAATACCTGTCATCTCTCCTATGGAAAGAATCCGTCAAATCACAGTTGGAAAATAATCGAAACCCCTTGGGGAAAAAATATAGCATGAACACAAAGCAAATGAGGTAGCTGGGCTTTATGGCGTCACTGAAAGACTTCTGTGGTATTCTTACTTTATCGCTTTATTCTCTTAACTATAGAGGAAGAGTTATTTAAAGGTATAAAATTAAGGATTTTTTTCACCTAATACCAAAAACAGTGTGAGGGGGGAAAACTAATTTTCAACCCTAAGGGAAACTCTTCACAGAAAGGAAAAAGGAAGGCAGGCCAAATGGCAAAGTAGTCCACTCAAAATCATGACTATACACTATGAGTAATTCACATAGGTGGCCAGTTACACAGGTGAATTCTAGCTCCAAAGACCTGTATAATTTAAGCTCCTGAAAATGGTCTTAACAATTGAGGTGACTGAGACTAAACTGTACATGAATCACTACTCTTTTCTACCCCAAGACTTTATCTCAACAGTAACATAAAGGCATTTGTCTTCAGCCTTGAGAAGAGCCAATCCACAGTCAAGACAAACCATCTTACCTGTTTTGGACATGAAGCTTCACCATCCCACTCTTTCTCTTCAACAAACCGGAACTGTGAGAAGGAGTCCCCTAGGTATAGAAAAAAATATATATTTTTACACAAAAGCCAAAGAAAAACACTCAGTTCTCTAAATTTCTGCTTGGGAATAAAAGTGCCATTTCTGAGGAGCAAAGCCCCAAATTCAGTGGTAGCATTTAATAGAAGTTCCTGGCTTCCACTTCTTTACACAGCAATCTGGGCCTGGTGGGCACCTGAAAATTCTGTTGGCTTCACACAATTCTCTGTAAGCCACCATCTACATGCTTCTAGAGAGATGACTCAAGAGGCTTGTAGACATGGCCATCTACTCATATTTAGTACATTTTCATCTCATCTGCTTAGTGTATGCAAGGAAACAGATATTTATGATGTGGGCAGTGGGCACAGCTGAAAAGGCAGAAGAACAGAAGGAAAGAAGGTCTAGGCTGACCCACATTAGAACAGGCTTAAACTATCTCTTTGAAGTGAGATTATCAACCTCAAACATCACCCCTAAAGTCGCCTGGTTAGAATGTCAAATGTAAAATAAAACTCAAAGAATATGCATGAGATTAGGTACACTGTTCTGAGCTCTTGGAATAAAGGAAAACGAACCTGTAAGATCAGCATAAACAATCATGAAAGACGACCCTGGACAGCAAGCTTCGACCCAATGCTCATTTAGTAAATGCATACTTACTTGGTTATTTGTCTTAAGAACACCTAATTGATAAAGAATTATTTCTCTGCCTAGCTTCAGGATTCCCCAAATGTGGTCCCAACCTCAATAACCCCAGTTTAATTCCTATTTCTTCCGACCTTCTGCCTGAGCCAGCCTCCTATCACATTCCAAACATACTTCCTATTCCATCCTAGCCTCTCCTCTTTCTCAGTCCTTCCCGCTTGTCCGGAAGACCCACACTCGTCTACCCATTTCTTATTGTAGTTATGCTCCAAGACTCGGTTCAGGGACGCTTCCTCCTTTGTGATATCTCTCAGGGGATTTAACCATAGAATCCATTCTTCTAAATTAAGAGAGGGACAAAGAAGTGAAGAATTCAAATTTCAAGAGACAAAGATAAAATTAGAATCTATACCACCCCCCTCATTTCCAAAACACATGGATCACAATATGAACATTTGGCAAGATCAAATTCAAGGTGAAAGGGACCAAGAACAGTACTATCAGGAAAAGGGGTAAAATTAACACTCTTAGTCATTGGTGAATCAATTTGATCCCTCAAAAATTATGACATAAAGGATCTGATTAATAAGGCCTTATATGTGCACGGAATACAGAAGTATATATGTGCAAGTATGTATCGTGATTATAACTGTATTTCTTTATAATATTTCTTTATAAATATCTGTGCAATATTCATTTTTCCTTTTTTTTTTTTTTTTTGGATTTTATTTATTTATTTGACAGAGCAAGAGAGCACAAGCAGGGAGAGCAGCAGGCAGAGGGAGCGGGAAAAGCAGGCTCCCCTCCAGGGAGCCCGATGCGGGGTTCGATGCCAGGACAGTGGGATCATGACCTGAGCCAAAGGCAGAAACTTAACAATCTGTGCCTCCTAGATGCCCCACAATATTTGTTTTTTAAAAGAGCTATAAAAAGGCCATAGAAAAAAACTCAATAAATCCTAAAATGTAGCAGTCATACAAACCATATTTGCTGGTGATAAACATTTATACCACTAATAAGCAAAGGGTTAATATCTCCTAAGTACAAAAAGCTTCTGCAAATCAACCAGAATAAAACCACCCAATAGAAAAAGAGGAAAAGGACTGAAAATAAGAAATACCATTTGCTAATATCTATATACGAAATAAGTAATAAATGAATAAATTAGAAATCAATCTGGTAGATTTTTAAAACTTGGCCAAATACCTGAATACCTTATTCAGTGTTATTTTTAGCATCCCTGAACTTTCTTTTGGCCCCAATACAGGACTTGAACTCATGACCCTGAGAACAAGATCTGAGTTGAGATCAAGAGCTGGATGCTTATCCTATTGAGACACACAGGCGCCCCATGGCATTCCTGAACTTCTAGATTATAAATGGTGCTATGACTGCATAGGCCACTATAATATATAATCAGCACAAGATTAACAGTAATGCTACATGTATTTATTTTTAATATTTGAATATTCACTTTCAAATATAGGTAAGATTCCAACAATGGCTAAATAGCTTGTTGCCAACCAATCCTCTTCCTGAGGAACAACTTAGGGACACTAGGCTGAAAAGAGTTACCAGGTGAGAACACGAGTGAGAAAGGTCCCAGAAAGAAGAGATGCTAACAATATTTAAAACAATATTTAAAACTGCTTTTTCCCTCCGGGGCATTTGTTCATTCCCAAAGGCACTATTGAGAAACTGAAAATCTGAGCACAAAGTAAGAACTGAGGAGGTTGTGAAGATACAGAAGCCTCTGCTAGTTTTACGGCACAGAGCAGACAAAAATTGCTGGTCAGGGCCCAAGGATGAGGAAGAGTTGTGGAAAATCGAGGCTTTCAGGTGGGACCCCTTTTGACTCCACCTTCGAAGTGGGGACCAAGTAGGACAAAGCCAGCCCCCACACAGCCTGAGGCAAAGCTGTAAATCATTTTAACCTCTGATTCTGCCAATGAGAAGCAAAAGTATACCCTTTTTGGAGGGAAAGGACATTATCTAGCCTAAAATTATCTCTACTATTTTTTATAACCAGTGTCTAAAATTCATTAAAAATCATCAGGAGATGAGACCAAGGTAACAGAAAACTAAGGAGAGGAAAAAAAAAACTATAAAAAGATCCACAGAGATTAAGATAGTAGAGTTATCAGACATGGCTTTTGTAATTGAGCAATGTAAAAATTTCAAGAATAGGAAAATCTCTAAAATCACAATGACATCCATGAACTTCTCTTTGATTCATACAAAATATATACATAATACAAAGAAGAAAATGATTGAGGAAAATGAGATACCGAAAACACATTTTGTTTACAGTAACCAAACTTCAAAATACAGTTTTAAAATTCTAATAAATAAATCATATAGAGGCTAACTTGGAAAAATAAGCTTGCTAAAATTTTAGACGGCTACAGAATGCCAATGTCTCTAATCCTTTACTGAAGATGAAAGAGTATTCAGACTTGTCCAAATGATGAGTCCTGGCATCAAGAGTGCTTCTGCGAAACAAGTTATCAGAATTCTTCCTGAATTATACTGAAACATGCACAAAAACAATGGTGCTCCTCCTCTATCCTGTGTGTCAGACATCTGAACATGCAGACCTCCTTTAAATACAACAGCACAGTACATTAACAGTGCATGCAATCCTGCTCCTGCTTTACTCTCTCGCTCAAGAGCTCCCAGTCTCTCACACAAACATGGTGAGTCCACATGAAGAAGTACAGAATGGAAACCAGGGAACAGTGACTGCCGACTGTGGTAGACAATGGAACAAACATGGGAAGGGTGTCTTAGGAGTCACACTCACCAGCTCTGTGTTCACAAGGTAATTATGGGGCAGTGTAACAAACAGAACGAGAAACCATAAAAGGAGTACTGTACTTTCTTCCTTCTTCAAAGACTAATTTCATGAGTTACAAGACGTTGTGGAACTGCCCTGTATACTCACACGATACCCTCAAACAAGATGGAGGAAGAGCTAGTTCCTGCTATACAGGCCGTATGAACAGCAACATCAACAAAAATCCCAGGATAGTCTACTTTGCAGATAAGCATACCAAAATAGCAGACCAGCTAAATCCAATGATTGCTTATTAAGAATGTAATTTATCCACTAAAATTTGCTAAATAAGGGGAGGCACATTTAAACAAAGCTGGTAAGACTTCGAGCATTCACATTTTTCTTACCTATAAAAAGTCTCCTATCCTTCTATTCCAGAAACAATGCTGAAGTTGGTGTGCACGAATGAAAGTGAAGACACAAGTAGAACTGAAACAATTTCTGTTACATCTTGAAAGTCAATGACATGGCTGCCACAGTTCTAGACCCAAAAGTAGTGAGAGAATTTTTTTCAATCGACTAATTGTGTGAGGCAGTAAAAATGTTAGAAAGTTAGATATATGCATTGGCAGCAATCTTCAGCATGCTTCTGAAAATATTTAGAAAGGATGTTTCAAGCAGCACCCAATGCTTCCATTTCTGGGATTCCTTCAGTCAAACTCATGATCATCACGCAAATCTCCAAGGCCAGTGGTTAATGAGGAGAAAGATCTTTACCTATTCTTAACCTAGTCTTTACCTAGTTATTATTGGAAAGGGCAAGATTAATTGTCAAGGGACAGCTTACTATCAGCAGTACCAGACTCTGTAGTAGAGTATAGCGAGCACAGGATCAATCTAACAGCAGGCAGGGGGGGGTGAAAGGAAAAGGCCTATATGCTGTCAAAATTAAAGCTGACTACTAAAAGCTTTTGTTAAAAAATGTCAAGTTCTATTGAAATTTAAAAAATTTTTTTGTATTCCAGACATCCAGTCTATGACTGATAGTTACTTTTAGTTTCAGCTAAATATGACTAAACACTTGACCATTTGGCCAAAATGTATACTTAGTATGCCTCCAATATTCAATCAGTGACGTTCTATGAGGCATTTAGAAATAAGGTAGCTTATGTAATGTACAGCATGGTGACTATAATTTCTAATACCATATTGCACAATTCAAAGTTGCTAAGAGATCTTAAAAGTTCTCATCACAAGAAAAAAAATGTGTAACTATGTATGATAACAGATGTTAAGTAGACTTGTGGGGATCGTTTTACAATATTTACAAATATTGAGTCATTATGTTGTACACTTGAAATTAATATGGTGTTATATGTCAATTATATCTCAATTAAAAAAATAAGGTAGCTTTAGACATACTGACATGGAAAGATTATCTCAACTGTTACATGTTGGGAATACCAAGTTTTAGTGCAGTATAAATAAGATATATAGATATATGCATACACATAAATACATATACTATATATACACATACATATATGTGTGTATCTGTCACAAGAATACTAATATATGCATAGAAATAA